ATCTTGCACGCTCTTTAATTGATCTTGTTAGATGACAATGAGAGGAAAGCAGAGGCATAGATAAGACCAAAGATTATTTAATGTCTTGTAAAATGTTGCCCCATGATAATTTTAAATATACTCATATGTTGTGTGACCATAGATGCTCAAATGTGTCAGATAGTGTCTCCCCACTAGTAGTTATACCAGATGGCTCTGTTTGGCAGTGATCTTATTTGGCAAAGAAGACATATTTAGATTCACAAAGGCCAGCACTCCATGAATGTGACATAGACATGTCTTCAAATTGTCTACTGTGATAGAAAACCCCACGATGTACAAATGACACAAAACTCAGCTTCCTCCTTTCTCAGGTACGTTGGGCATGTATAGGTGCATTTGGTATCTGTAGGTTCGCATCATCGTATTACTGTTCACATTTACTATTTGGCAAGTTATCAAATTGTCTGGTATCCAGGGTAACTTTGTCTGATTCCTGCTGCAGTGCATGGTACAAAGGCAACAGTATGCATTTCATCTAAATAATAATGATCTTCATGTTCATATAAACCTGTAGTGTGTGTGTGTGTAACAATATATAGGTCACTTTACATGACAGGAATGTGCGTATATTTTAATTTGTAATTTTTTCTACCCAACGTTTGAGAAATGATGCATTGTTTATAAAAGACTTAATGGTCTTTTACATTAATCTAAAAAAATAATAATACTAATTGTTCCTTTTGAATGAAAGACTTGTGCTAAATTACGTATTTTAAATCTTCTGTAACTTAAGGCGAGAGAGCAATACTTTCAGTATGGTGAAGACAGGGAAACAACTCAAGTGTTTTTGATGGCAATGTACTTCAGAAGTCACACGACAGGACTTAACGCACAAACAGTGACAATGAGGAGCAATTCCTTCCTCAGGACCTTCTCTTACATGTACATTACAGTCTAATACATTTTTACCCTGAAGAATAAACCATATTTCAAGAAAAGGGAGGAAATAATTAGCGGTTATGTCACATGTCATTCTCCGGTCGTCACACTGGTATTCGTGTTTAGGGGACCCAGAAAGGTGGAAGAATTTAAGTTTCAGTGACACGACCCTGGGGACACAAACAGCCGTCGCACAGAAAACAAAGGGCGCCTGTTCAAACTGAAGCCATTCCTGGAATTGGACACACTCAACAGAAAATCCCACTCAAGGATGAACAGTAGTTCTGTATGAATGAACAAATGATCCCTTTCAATTCAACTCATTCTTCCCTCTTCAGTTTAATAGGGTTCATTGGTTTTATAAAATATATGTATTGATGAAACACATAATAGGAAGCATTTGCTGTTGGGAGGAAACATTTTTGTCTTAATATTTAAAAGACCCCCAAAAAAGCTTAGCTATAAACAGCATTTCTGTTATCATTGTTATTACGGCTGTGGTGCTGCGGTCATTTCCTGTCCCTTAGGCTGTGGCATCCTGTCATGTTGCTGAGTAGTGCATGACATTTCTGCACCGAAGAGGATCCCATTCAAAGGGGCCAGCAGCTTGAAGCACATGCATAATAAGCACAAGAAGCTACGATACCAAATGTATTTACTTTGCAGCTGGAGAGGAATTGTGCATGACTTTGACCTTTCGAGTGGAAAAATTTGCCCCATGGACTGACTGCCTCATCTGGGAGCCAGCGGAAATACCCTCCTGACCCTGGGAAGCAAAATCCTTCAACATCAAATCTCCAAGCTGAAGACTTGCAGCCCAAAAGGAAAATAAAGAAATATATTGTTTAGGCAATCAGAGAAATTGTTGTAGGATATCATTAATGGCAAATTTTTAGTTTGTTAAACAACTAGGATGCTTCCTGTCTTCCAAAGTTGGATATGTTCAAAGTTAGCCATAAAACAGGTATATAAAAAATGGTATAATACGTACAATATACAATGCTGGATATGTATTTCATTATACATTTCATTTGAACAATCCTTTCCAAACGCAATCGTCACCTGGATGAGTCAGAAAATATATTGATGAATGAATAAATGACAAGTACACTGCTATAGTTATATAAATCATAACTGATCCTTATTCAAAAGTATCATGATAAAAAAATGAATTATTTTTAGACATTTAGCATATAAAATTATACTCCCTGCTGGTTGTACTTTTTAATATGTAAGAAGCCACATCCAGCAACGCAGCATAATGAAGAGATTCTCCATGTCCTTTGGCTCATACATAAACAGAAATCCCCAACATTTTCTTGCATATTACATACATGCATATACAGATTCACGCATGCAAACACAAATTGTAAACAAACAGATACATTCTCATACACATACGGGAAGTGATGTCAGTCCTTGTCTCCAAGGAGATGGAAACAGTTGCTAGGATACTGTGATACTGGAATCTCTTTCATTCCTCTCTTTCTGTGTCCCTCACACAGTAAGAAACATTGTGCAGTCACACAATGAATTACTTCCTAAATCATGTCTGCATCTATTGATTATTATTTTAATCTCTCACTGTTAACAAAACAGGGTTTATTTCTGTTCATATATCAGCAACTTTTATTTAATATTGTTTATAATGTCATACGCAATATAATTCTTCTTCTGATTATCCTGACTGCTGACCTGTTTGTGTTAATCAAGTCACTTGCAAATTCATGCCAAAATTCAGCCTTGTCTTGTGACTGCTACAGCATCACAAGCCATGCAAAAGAAGTTGCAGGTGTTGCCGGGCAACGCTCCAGAAGCAGGCAGGTAAGGGCTGTGGTCCATGTGGATCTGAGGCCATGCCTCACGCCTGCTGCCAGAGGGGCACAAAGCTGCCGCCGGTCCCACCGTTCCGGCTGCATTTACCCAGAGCTGTACTCACGCTCTCTGGCCAGCTGAGATGAGCCAGCAAGGGAAGCGAAGGGGAAAGTCATGGCGTGTCCCAGGATCACAGCAGCCCCTGTTGCTTGTGTATGTACTGGCATTCAGAGGTTCGCTGATCTTCATGTTCATGTCAGCACATGGTCTGCTCATCCAGTAATCTCTTTCAGAGCAGATGGTAGCATGCACACAATATTTAGTAACAAAAATGCAACCATAGTCAAAGGTAGCTGAAAATGACTCAATAAAGGTCCCAAAACAGCAATAATTGGATTCTGAGTAACACTAAGATTCCCTAATTGGGCAAGCAGAAATGAATGATGAGCTCTGAGCCTATTGTGTCTGTTTGTTTACGGAATACTGCTGCCAGGTGTCCATCAGATCCGGTCCCTGTAGCTTTTAGCTCAGTATGTTGTTAATGTCCTGCAGTTGGTGCTTCACTGTATTCCTCGCCCTCCCTCACAACATCAGGATCAATGTCCTGCATTATCCATTGAGTCACATGAAGTATCCGTCTCAATGCTAAGAGTGACTGAGAAAAAGGTTCTTATTCTTGCATATTCACCTGATGGAGACGCTGCAGTACACAAACACTGATACCAAGTGGAAGCAGCAAGGCAGAAGAGATCAGGGCAGTGGGGGGGGGGGGGGGGGGGGGGGGGTATGAAGGGTTCTTTTAGAAAAGGAGAGAAATAAAGTAGGATGGACTCGAGGACAGAGAATTCCACAGAGGAGAAAGAAAAGATTGAGGAAGATTGAAAATTTAAAATGTGGTCTGTGAAGAGAAAAGCAGGAGGGAGGGAATGAGGGAGGGATATTCACTGCACCGTTGTGTGACTAGAAATTTAATGGAGGGAGGGAGGGAGAGAGAGGGAGAGACACTGGAAGCATAGGAACACAGAGGCAACTGACTTGAATATAATTCCTAGTCAAATTTTGAACACCGATTGTTACCGCATACAAGAAAAAGTGAAAAGGGAGTAGGAGAGAAGGAGAAGAGGCGGGGGCAGGAAAGCAGGGCCTGAGCTAGGGGTGACTGCTTCAACATGAAGTTAGCCTGCTGTCTCCTCTGCTGGGCACTGCAGTGAAAGGGCAACTCTAAAGGACTGGGGAGTGGTGGAGACAAACAGTCGAGGAGTCGGGGGCGAGGAGAGAGAGGGAGGCACACAGAGACCCACTCAGTGTGTGTGTGTGTGTTTGGAGGGGGGTCAGCTTGGAGGAGCGGATTCAGTCTCCAGTCACAGTGGACCATGGCTATCTTCAAATACAGGGCATTTACTAATCAAGCTAGCAATAGTCATCACTGTCATACTAGTAGTACTACTACTACTAAAAATAATAATAAGACTGTTGGATGAAGAAGTGTAAGGTTCTCAGAATGACGAAAATATCATAATCTGCTCTGAACTTACTAAGAATTCCTTTCACTAGTAAAAATGCAGATGTTCAGGTTTTCATTTCAGGGTGTAAAGTGTAAGATGAAGAGCAGGTCATGCATGTGCTTAAATGTGTCAGAAAGACAGAGCGCGTGAGTGGGAATCAAAGGGTGACATAGCAGGGCTATGCACAGAAATAGTGAGCATGACTGATTCAGGCCTGAATATAGAAAACTATCAATGTATGATCAATCACTCTGATGCCCTATTTATATTTTACACTGTACTTTTACAGACTAGTTGCCTGTAATTTCCCCCAAAATACTTCACTCCCAGTGTTCTATATCAGTACCTATCAGTATTACTTCCTCAAGCTTGCTGTGACTTTTAATTAATTTGGTCAAATTAAAAAGCCACCTTTGTTCCACTTCTGCAAATAAGGGGTATTCATTTCAGGGTATATCTGGACTGCTACTTCTCTTCTTGCAGAAACTTGAGTGTCAGTCACTTGGCCATAGTGGATTCTTCTGTGCATGTCTGAGTTCTGAAAGATTACTACATCAGACATCTGGTGTATAAAACAAGGACTACACATTTCAGCTTCTTCTTGCAGTCGAGATCTGTTTGTTGAGCTGTGTCAAAACTCCCTTTTCAAATGCCTATGGGCAGTGTTTAAAATATAACCCCCCTATTCCTCTTAACAGTGTGTGTGCTCAAAAGGAAGCTGCCCTAGATTCTCAAAGACAATCCATTTCTGCTGTGGTCTCAGTCGTTAGCCCAATTTTACTCTCCTTCTGCTTTTAATGGAGACACTAATCAAAACAGTGCAGAAGAGCCCTGGTGTTGTTTTATTCAGGTGCTACAGATGACGTGGAACTGTGTTTTTACTCTTTATTGTGATTATTTTTGTCCATGATGCCATTTTCACAGAAATAACTATTTGACATCAAGGGATACAAGTCTAGTTCACACTATCTTAGCATAATATCTATGACTATGAAAACTATATATGCATTTCTGTATTTTTTATTCAATCTCTTTATTATTTAATAATAATGAAAACAACTTCGCAAATCGGTCCATGTCTCTGCTGACCCCCAGTCATGTCGCTGCTGACTCCCAATCACGGTGAGTAAACACCCACAATAGAATTTTATATTTTCGCTGATACAGAGGACCTTTCAAAATGCAATAGTTCACGAGGTCTTGACATACGTCTGTTTATTATTTATGCTTATGCGACATCTCAGATGATGACGCCGATTAATATTGATTAGTTATTTCTGAATTTTTTTCACGTCTTTAGATAAGTCGTCCTGCTTACAGTCTAATGGTTTTTTGCCGTCTTCAGCTTACCTTCTGGTAGTTTAGTATATAAATAACAGTAATTTCGCAGTTAAAATGCAATTACAATACGCATTCACTTTTATGAGATGCAGCTGATGACAGACACTGCATAATCCAGGCAGCGTCGTCGAGCGCTATCCGATTATAATATCGGTGTGAATTACGTTTTCATGTTCGATTTATTCTGCATCGTGTACTTTTAATACTGGTGCGTGGTTATAAGGCAATGCAATGCTTTGTTTTTAGATTTCTAGCTCTTATTTGATGGTCACTTTGTTGCATGCTGCCAGTCCTGGTGGGTGTGCTGTGTCTCAGTGTCGCTCAGCGGCTCAGCGACGGCGGCGGCGAGAAGCTGCAGTTTATGTTCAAGCGACTCTTTTTATCTTTTTTTTTCTCCTCCGACAGCGTTCGCATCTTCTTCACACACGTCTTTTGCTATCGTTTGTGGATATATTGCTGTTTTATTTGTCACCTTAGTTTGCATTCGGAGGGAGGTGGAAAAAACCGGCACGTCTTTTTTCGCATCATCCTTGTTCTTATCATCTATAGATTACTTATTTGACCGGTCCGTTTTCACGATGCCTTTTTCCGATACAGCGGACGACGAGAAAAAGCCCTGTGGTCCATGCATTGCCGTAGAGTAGATCAATCTGAGAGCGAGAGAGGACGGAAAACTAAAGAGTGCGACTTAGAAAGCGAGGGAGAGGAGACATTAACTTCACGTCGCTTTCGTTGAAGGAAAAGACGGGGGAAAGAGGTAGGATAAATAGGAGATGGCGACAGACAATAAGAGCTACGTCTTAATTTGTACAATGGCCTGCATGTTGACGGTAACAATGCAGTTTGCTCATTAGCAAAATACATACGAAATCAATACATGATTACTTACAGTGTATCCTCATTAATTAGATTGCAGTATGTATTCATGTGCGGGCATCAATCATTATAACAAATTTAATGCGGCATCCTGTGATGTGTAAACGTGTTGATGTATCTAATGAATATTTGTCAATGCTGTACACGGTCGTCTTAACATATGAGGGTAACCTTTAAAAAGGGCAAAAAATCTCTTCTCTAAAGATGCACATACGCAAAGAGAAATGCATTTAGTAGAAATTATGGGAATTAGAATATATGTAGGCTATATATACCCTATTTAAACCCACGCAGCTATGTATATGATCATTATTATATGACATTTAAAAAATTCGCAGTTAGGTTTTATAGCGACCAAGTCAACCATAACTTAAATGTATTTCTGCGCTGGTGGTGTGTGTAGGCTATACATAGTGTGCTATCACCGTTGTTCATTATGTGACAAAATGCTCCAAGCTACCACAACACATGTGTTCTGGAGGAAGCCTATTCTTCCATATTCTGGTGAAGTTACCAGCGATGGTTACTTCTTGGCTGCTTTATTGCGTTGTGTCTGCAGAACACCGGTTTAATACTTTATAGTGGAAGAATGTGGGAGAATTTAAAAGCATGCATATTTATACGCACACAAAGGACGGCGCCGGCAGCCTGCGCCAGTGTGCGGCGGTCAGCACCATTGCTTTGGCTTGTTTAGGTATTTGATCTAATTGGAAACGACGCATCCTGCCTCCACCGCCGAAATGCGGAGAAACGACATAAGCATCGCGGCCTGCACCCATCTCTTAAAGCGCAAAACTCAGTTTCCAGAGTTGACGGAGAAGGAGGTGGTCGTTTTTAGTTAGGTCATAAAAAAACATCTTTCATTTTTCGTCCTCAATCCAAAAAATATATTCTATGTTGAACACACCGTCATTTATCTCACTATAGCACACATTTAGCATGTTGAAGAACCGGCACATGCTATGCATTGCAAAATGGTGCATTTTTCATCAAGGGCTTCGAGTCGTTTCTTCTTGACGTTACACAATTTATGGGAAGTTATGAAAGAATTTTAATCAGAAAGGCATGTGCCTGTTTGATGCATATGGAAATGTACCATGTTTCTTGGGTGGACATTGTGGTTGCGCCCGTTATGGATGGCATACTCATCGTGGTTATTTTATTATAATCTTATGATCTGATGTGAGTAGTAGGCTACTATTGGATTTGAACATGATTAAAATGAGATTGTTCATCTGGTCGGTTAAGATAAAGTTGAAGGATGTAGGTAAGCACTGAATAGGTGACGCTGCATGGCAGATAACGGCTACGAGACTGATGCCTCGTTGTAATGTTAAGCTGGAAATCCAGCAGGTGATCACCAGTCTTGATAGCGTACTGCTTAAGCATACGATCATACGTGTTAATAATGTCACTGGCTGTTTTTAAAATAGCTGCATACTTTTGCGGTTCACAAGAATTTTTAGATCACTGACAAACTTTAACGAGCCTTGACGTTTTAACACTATATTATGTTATTGTGTCTATAAGGCAAGAGAAGTTCATTAACGTTTTATGTGTCTGTGTGTGTGTGAATATATCAATGTTAAAAAGCACTTAAATGCAATGCGCTGATATACCGAAATGAAAATTGTTACAGTACTCTCAGTTCTCTCTGCTATAATGACTGATATGAAAAATTAATCCTTATCTTGCTGTAGTTTAAAAGTACTTTGTAATGATAATTTATTGCTTATATTTTGGGAAGGCATCCATGAATTTTAAATCTAAATAAATTAACGGCTTTGAAATTTATTTGGCAGTTCAGCATTGATGCTAATAAACATTTGTGCAATAAATGAATCATTTGTAATAGAATAAACAGGCACAACAGGATCTGACCATTTTTTGAGAGCTAGTTTCGTATAATTTTATTTAAATACCTATTCTTGTAACCAGATATTTTCAGGTATTTGGAGTATGAAATCCTGCTTCATGCTTTGTAAAAATCACATTAGGTGAGATCCTTTCCAAAGACACATGGAAAGGTTAATATGGAATGTAATGTAGTCTAAACAATTTTATTTATCGAATGTGGCCAGAGGTCAACAGATCTCCAAAGTATTTAAATAGACTTATTCAAATATAATGATGAAAAAAGCTATACCCTGTATATATATATATATATATATATATATATACACACACACACACACACACACACACACACACACACATTTGGCATGATGACACAAGGTACCCGTTAAATGCATTTACTGTAACTTTAGTGTGTCTGTGATTCTTGGTATGGGATCTTTGAATTATTGTAATAATAAGAAGAGTAAGAATAATAGTAATAATATCAACACCAATAATGGAACACAAATGCTCTCTCAGAATTGATCATGTACATTACTGTGTGTAATTGCCATCAGTTGTCCAAAGCTCAACAAATGCAGCATTCACTTGTTACCAATGTAGATTCATAGCTCTTTGTCTTTATGAGTTACTTGTCCTTTGAATTAGTGCTGGTGAAATGACATTAATATTCAGCCCTTAACTGAAATGTCACTCTGTATCTCAGCTGTCTGGAGTCGTGTGCTGGTGACTGGGAATCAGTGTAGACTGGATATACGTATCTGCCTTATTTGGATACCTGCCATGCTTCTCATGAAATGGGAAGTTCTTTAAGGTTGCATACTTAATAAATAGCATCTTCATACTGCTTGACTTATTTTACACTATATTCTCATGTAAATATTTGTTATTAGTATATTAGCAGGATTTATTTGGGCATATTTTGCGTAACAGTAAGTTTGCGTAAGTTACAGACATCTTATTTTAATCAGTCGGTTCAACTAACATGTAGAACTTGACTATAAGGCCCATACCGTAATATTTTTACAGTGTATACAGAACTGACATATTCAACAAATAGATGGCACAATACTAGTGGTGTCATTGCATCAGAAAAGTAGCACCAGACATATCTTGTGGCATTTTTTCAGCTTTGTGGTATTCTAAGTGGATTATGATATGCATTGAATGCTTCCTTCTTTAACCATCAATGGGTCAAATGCCCCCCCTCCCCCCATTCAGTCATTGCCTGATGCACAGATTTTAAAATTTGTTTCCCCATACAAATAAACTGTAAAATCAATCACAGGGAAGTTAGCTAACTGAAATATTATACAGCATTGTTATTAGAAAGCATTACTTCTTTCACGGTAGTAAGTAATGGTAAATCAGCATAGTAGTATTCATAGCATATAATTTTGAATTCCAGAATTCTTGCATAGAGCAGTAATTTACAGTCTCTGAAACCTCCTTGCACAGTTACATGGCCCAAAAGTGACCTAAAAGCTGAATGTAAGCTGATCATCTCGAGCACAGGAGAGCTGATTTCTGCTTCTGACATTCTTTACTGTAAGCGGCCTGCTGACATCAACGGACACCTGAGATGCCTGAAGGAGCTTGTGTGAAGACAAATTAAGCTGTCTGAAGGCAATGCAATGTGCATGGGAAGCCATTTCTCAAAATTTAATGTGACTGTTTTGTTTGTGCTGTTTTAACCTTAAAGGAACTTTGCTGATCTAGAAATGTCATTGTTGTACTCTTATGCTTTGGGGCAAGATGTATTCATAATCTCTCCTCTTGAGTCTTGAGCTGAATACATGTGTTATTCATCTGGATGCTGGATTTTAGTTTAAGCTTTAATCCACTGCTTGAAACATTAGATGAAAATGTGTGCAACACAATGCCATCCATAGTAAGGCTTGCAAAGAAACACAGGCTCTCTTCACAGCAGAAAAGCTAAATTTGGCAAAAAAGAGATTGCTCCTTAGTAATCTAAATCTAGCAAGTGTGTATACACACACACATGCACGCACAGGGAGAAGCGTATGTTAAAAAGATTCTTTTCAGGAAAAAAGTGTAAGGAATCAAGAAGAATCAGACTCTGGAGAAGAAAACAAAGTTTTAGTTTGTCATGTCATGTATGTCACCAAATATATTTTTGTAATGCAGTCACAAACAGCCTTCAGATTACATATGGGTGTATGCACTTTGATTTGCTTCAATTTGCGCTAGCAGAACAACCTAAAATAGAGTAGAGAGGTATATGAAGAGGATGTGAGATCCTGGTATGAAAAACTTTGCAAGGGTAAGGAAATTTCTGGGCAGCTATTTTGCAACCTCTTGGCTAGTTAATGAGCGAGTGTGGGTGTCAGCCGAAGAAGTGTGAAAAGTTCTGTTTCCTACATTAAGACTTGGAAGCAAATTAAGACAGGAATTATATTTGATCAAGTGGATGATTGCTCTAATCATTTCCAAACGACAGCTTTTAGCTCTCGACCAAGTTGGAAAACAAAACTTATTTTCTGGTAGTGTTGGATGTGTTTTGTTCAGTTCGCACATTCTCTCATACGTTGCCTTTGCCATGGTACATGGTGAAGATCCAACATTAGACTGGTACAAGGACACTTGGTAGCTTTTCAGAAGAGGGGGATAGTATAGGGATCCTAGATCCACGCGAAGAAAAGAAGGAACCGGAGCGGTAGACTGTTATAGCCCTAGTGTATACTCTGAAGGCTGCTTATGTATGTTGGAAGGGCTAGAGGAATGTACTTCAGGTAAAAATGGGGAGTTTGGCTGTTTCTATAATTTTGAGCACTGAGACAGTTCTTTTTCAGCTGCAGTCAAAACACGTTGGTCTCGACAGGCTTAAAATGGAATAGTGCAGAACCGGTAAGCTGAAGAAGAGTGTGCCTTGTTAAAAAGAAAGTGAGGACAAGGAAGGAGGATAGACTTGTGAGTCAGGTCTGTAGTGAAGAATGGTTCTCACGGTATTCATTAAAGGTGACCTTATTAAGAGGGAGGTTGAGGTAGGCCAGTATTTAGTTG